ATGGTGTGTTTGTTGACATCTCTCAAAAAACGATAGCGAACGCGTTCGCCCGCTCACCGCTCTCCGCTCCCCGCTCGCCAACGTCTCTCATCGATCGATGCGTGACTCCACCTCTCGCTATCGATTTTTCAGAGATGTCAACAAACACACCATTTTGCATGCTGCCGAGTCCGGCCTTATTGGCTCAGACGTTTTTCTGAATTCGGCCGATAATAATTACGATTTTGTAAAATTTTATATAACTTTTCTTCTCAGTTTAACCCAATCTACTATAATCTTTGGGGTCGTCCATATCGAATCAAACACCCTGTATATTATTTAAAAAAACTTTTATTAATTTTACTTTTAACCTTTATTTAAAAACAGATTACAATTGGGTTATTACATTAAATCGATCTTGCTTGGGCTTGTTTGGGGTTTGGCCGGAACCTGACGCAACTCCACGAAGGAAATTAATGACGAATATACGCGTGATTGTCATATTAAATATAATTATTTGGAGTAGCATCATTCCAACTTTCCATTCTTTTATCAGAATATGGGGCAATATTATGTCTATGATAGATAACTTGCAATACAGTTTACCCCTTTTAATATCAGTTATGAAACTTGTTCTCTTATGGCGGAAAAAGGAAGGTAATAAACTGAAATGTCATCATGCTCTAAATCGAAATAAAAGAAACGTACATAGAAAATTTTATTCAGATTTCTCGATTTTCTCATAATTTTTAAGAGTCTTAACAAAACAACAAATATAGTTATTCTCAATTATCGCAATTATGTTAAACGTAAAGTTATTATACTTTACCCATTAATTTGACAATTAATTAATATAGAAATTTTAATATAATTTTTAAAATAATGTAGTCTTTTAATTAAATATTTTGCTACTGTTTTCGTTTATATGTATATTAATTTAATCATATAATAAATTTCTACACTTAAATTTACTAGGTATATTATTTTATCAATTACTGTCTTACAACGTAAAATTAATAATATAATTCTAACGAGCGTTCTTCATTTTCCATAGTTCTCATACCAGTTTTACAAATGGTTAAAGAGGACTGGATAAAATCAAAATCAGAAAGAGAAAGAATTGTTATGCTACGACAAGCGCGAACGGCACGTCTAATCATAATTTGGGGATATTTTATAATGTTTGTCTCGTTCATTATTGTTGTAATTCTTCCTTCCTTTAATATATCGATGAGATATAGAACAAATATTACTGATCCGGGCAAAATATTGCCGCTGCAAACATATTACATGTACAATGTAAGTAACAGCCCGTTTTACGAGACTACTTTCATTCTACAAGGTTTTAGTTTGATGGCAGCCGCCGCTATGTACTCCGGCACGGACTCCTTCATGGGTTTTCTAGTCTTCCATGTATGTGGTCAACTGGAAAATTTCAGGATGCGTATTCTGAATTTGGATAAATTTAGTCACTTTGAGAAAGCGCTATCTTCTAGCGTGCAAGAACATTTACGTCTGATCAGGTACATTAGATTAATGACAAATTATAATAAATTTTCTAAGTCTTTTCTGTTTGTTCAACAAACCCATTAAGTTTTGCCAAAACAAGTGGAGAACGATTTGTTTATGACAAAAGATAGTTTGATATACACATATGTTTAAAGTTATTAAGTACTATACATACACATACATACTCGACCCTCGATTTACGCGGAGTAATCACGTTCCATTCACGTTCCATTCAGTTTTTTTACGCGGTTGAAAATCGTACAAATGGAATCAGCTAACACAAAAAATGCATAAAAAATCAAATTTTATATACATATCGGTTATAAAATGCAGAAGCTGCTACTTGTTAATATAGTATAATTAGGTTAAAAACTACCTTGATAGAAATTAACTTGCCGGTGCCATAATATTTGTCAGCACCATGTAAGTCTGTCGCGCCGCAACTTTATCTCAATAATTGGAAACATTTACATCACAGTCATATTCACATCTGATGTAGAAATAGTGTGGCCACTTAACATACATAAAAAGTGTAGGTCTGGATTTCACTGGACTTTTGATACATACACTTGCGCCATCCAGTGGTGTAGATATTCCAAAGTTGCGCCAGCGAACAAAACGTGATGATTTCGCGAATGGCATTGATCAGCGTGTCATGTGTAACCCTGGTTAGTGCCACGCAAGCACCTGTCAAAAATTTCTACCAGGGTAGAGAAAAGGTAAATACGAGAAAATCATATTTGTATTCCTTACTAACTTTTACTTACAGATTCATTAAAGTCATTGACAACACATTTAACTTGATGCTGCTTGGTCTGCTCATTTATTTTGGCGTACTTTTTGCTCTGTTTGGATTTTTAATTATTACCGCAAGTATTCTTATAATTTGTATTATATATTTATAAATTTCTTCATCTGTATATAATGTAATCAGAACACAACAATTTACATTTAGAACTGTAATATTCCATTCTTTATCTACATTATTGTTCAAATTTAATATATCTTTTATTTTAATGATATTATTTAATGTGTTATGCCTGTAAATTAGTTTACTTCCAATGGCACAGCATAATATGTACGTACTCGCATCGCTTTGAAAAATTACGAGTGTTACTGCAAATATAAACAGCGTAGTTATTATAGCATAATTACCATTACAATATCAAAGTGTTACGGTGTCACTCTATTATTTCTCGGAAATTGAGTCTTAAAATACTTTTCGTCTTAAAAAATAGAAACAATATAATCTAATTCTTATTAATTTAAATTATTTGTATTATACCTGATTAGGTGGTTTTATTTATTTATTTTGTATAGTTTACAAAAATTTCTTCGTAGTTTCTTATTACGTTTAGTCGTTTTCACTGCGTAGGTAATGACACAAGGACGCGATCTCTCCATCGGTCGACTTATTTACATTCTGACGGCATTTGTTAATACATTTACACATATGTGTCTTTATTGCGTGGCAGGCGAATTTTTAGTTATTCAAGTAAGTATTGATATTTTAAATATTCCATTTTCCGTGATTTTATCATGAATATTCATAATATAAGCATATTCAGTAATATTTGTATATGTATATGTTTTTTATTTAAATATTTATAATAATAAATTTAATATTACAAATTATTTCATACTGATTATCAAGTGTGATGGAATTTACGAAGCTACTTACCACTATAAGTGGTATAACCTAAAGCCAAGGCAGACTAGAAATTTATTAATTATAATGATGCTGGCCAATAAACCACTGCACCTTACTGCGGGAAAACTTTTTCCTATGACAATGGCTACATTTTGCAATGTAAGATTTTCTATAAATTAACTTAAAATAAACTTAATTGTTACAGATAAAATTCTCGTTATGAGCATTATACATACAGGGTGTTTGATTCGATATGGACGACCCCAAAGATTATAGTAGATTGGGTTAAACTGAGAAGAAAAGTTATATAAAATTTTACAAAATCGTAATTATTATCGGCCGAATTCAGAAAAACGTCTGAGCCAATAAGTGCACGGAGGAGCGGAAGGCCGGACTCGGCAGCATGCAAAATGGTGTGTTTGTTGACATCTCTCAAAAAACGATAGCGAACGCGTTCGCCCGCTCACTGCTCCCCGCTCCCCGCTCGCCACCGTCTCTCATCGATCGATGCGTGACTCCACCTCTCGCTATCGATTTTTCAGAGATGTCAACAAACACA